AGGTCCGGTCATCCGGTTTTCACGTTTCGGTTTTTTGGACTCGGTTCTTGAATGTTGTTCCGGTCCAAACCGGTCCGACTGAACCGGTACCCACCCCTAGTGCTAATGTATGCCAGTCCTGCACCAAATTCCAGTGAAAGAGATGGATAATCTCCCCAGGAAGAGGTGGAAAAAATTCCACCTCTCTGTCACCCCACTGAGCTGTCAATCTCCAGGTAGTATCCCTTTGGGGAGAGGCTCACTTACCCATCTGTGTCCTAGACACTGGACAAGTCAAACATGCAGGCTTCAAAGGCCAAACTTGGGATTAAAATTCATCACTTGGCACAATGCTGCGAATACAGATGGAAAAAGCAACCAGATTTTAATTAGGAGTCGACAAAGACGACCGTCTGACAGAGATCCACTAAACCTATTGTACCCTATGTAAAGAAGATAACACAACACAATGGATTTTTGGATTTGAATAATTTGCCATTTTTATGAGATCATGCATATTTTAACACTCGTGTTCCACACAGAGCATTTATTTGCAGTAAGGGTTTTTAAATGGTAGGGGAGGGTGTGATTAGCGAATACATCATCTCTATCTTTTTCTTGCAGAGCTTGCAGTTCCTCCTTGTAAATTAATGCCCGAGGTGAAGATAATTGACTGCAGATGACACAGTCCTAGAAATCAGATTCTAAGAACCCTCATTTCTAAGAACCCTCATTAACCAAACCTATCAGATAATCGGTATCCAAACCAGATCCTAAGAATGTATGACAGAGAAGATTTGGCTGCAAGAAATCCAAGTGCCTGATTACCTGGAGAAAATTACTACCTTCCACCAGCACAGACAATATGTCTGTTGTCATGGCAATTTCCTCCTCTTCTTTTTGCAAGACCCCCAGAATTCTTGTGGTAAATTCCTGTGGATAATTGATTAGATGGTGCTGCTTCTTCTATTCTTCTTCACAGTGGGGTGTCAACAGAGAGAAGACAGGGGCCATTCAAGCAGAATGATTCAGCCCCACCAAGTCTTACAAAAGATGAAAGAGAAAAACAAACATCACCTTCAGTGTCAGCAGGCTGCCAATTCCTGCATGGTTTGCAACATTTTTAGTCACCCTGGTAATCCAGGGAGGTGATCCATGACACCACACATTCTCCTTCAAGACTTTGGGCCATCAATTAAATCATTGTCAAATTAAGAAGCTATTTTTGATAGTTTATACCACAGCAGCTAATATCAGGCTGTCTTTCACAAGTTTATTCTAAGAAATAGTTTCTTCTTGCAGGATTGCAGCTTACAAATTGCAGCTAAGTTCTCTCAAAGACTGGGGCACACTAGAACTGTCCTAGACGATAATAAATACTCTCCCCTCCCATGATATAGCAACAATCACCCCATTGGATAGCGGGATAGTTTTCTGGAAAATGAGAGAGCCTGACCTTAAGTTGACAGAAAAGCTAGCCATGCCCACACTAAATTGTTAGGGATACACTGTGCTTTGTCAGGAAATCGGGCTAAAGATGGAAGATTTCTATTGGAAAACTACCAACAGATGTTCATATCTCTTCAAAAATTAAACGTTTTCTTCATAAAACAGCAGAGCTGCCTGCCCCCAGACTAAGTTTATAATCCTTATCGTGAGTGCTGTAGTCTAAGGAGATTAGCAGTGGTGCTTTCTGGAAATGTTGTATAAAAGATCACTCAATCTGTAGTCTGCATGCCTTGGACTTGTGCCAGTTGTAAACAGGGGGAGTGGAGGGGCAGGGCTGTGTGGTCAACCATTAGTAATTTAGTGGACATGTGGTGGAACATTACATAACATGACATAAACCTTATGTTGTTACACGCTTTCATGTACAATGTGTCCCTCTAAACACACCAATTTGCATTCGTTAGGACAAACGCGATAGACAGGATTAAGTCCACAGTCAACTGCGATGTTTACCCTACCAATTCCCTAAGCATGGTGGCACCAACATGCAAAGAAAGCCTACTGACATGTATAAAATATCACAGACCCATGGTAACTACATTAGAGACTGTTACAAACTTTTTCAAATACTAGTATCGAAAATATCAGTGATTAGATCGGCAAGCCAAAACAGGCTTGTAAGAGGGATCATTCAACATCCTTCCAATCCTTTGGAAAAGCTTCACGGGAGCCAAGAACATCAAGAAAGATAGGCTGCATCCTAGCTATCACTGAAAGATCTCGATAGGGACTTACAATTCTTAGACTCATTCTAAGTCTGTTTTGACTTGCGAACTGTGTTGAATGAAAGGCATCTGTTTATCTCCAAAGAACCCAAGAAAATATCAGCTTTGAACTTGACTTGAAGGAACCCAGTTACCCTTGGTATTCAATCATTCTGGTAATTATGATCAACGAATTTCAGCATTATTCAATGCTTTAATGCTTAGTTAATTTTGTTTACAACTCACAGCATTTGCACCAACTTAATTATGGATTCATGCAAAGGAAATTGTTAGGAGGCATGGACCAGAAAGAGGAAGGAGGAATGGCCACCACAGGGTGTGGCATCCACTGATTAGTCCCAGAGGGCAGATGCTGGCTCTGACCAATCAGATTGCAAGTTGTGCAAGGACAAAGTTTTCTTGTGGAGGAGGAGGTGTGACCATGTCTGCCTGTTTCTACACCATTTTGTTTATTAGATAATCACGTTTCAAGCTTTAATTTTGCTTTAATTGGTTGAAAAGTTTCTTGATGGGGATGGGAATCTTATTTGCTCTGTGGCATGCATAGAGAGATTACGAAAACAACGGTTACAAGTTTATTGGCACTGATTTCCAGAAAATTGTAGCACAAAACTGAGTGAGTGTAGCACAAAATTCATTGTCTCCCTTTCCTCATTTACCCTTCTGACAATGACATGGAACATTCCATCTTACTTCCAATTATCTTGTACCATCATTCAGCTTTGTATGCAAATTAATAACATTATGCATAGTTACAGATACCAATCTTTCACACATGTTACACAACAAGAAACAGACCTTTGATTTCTTCATGTTTAATTAATGATTATGAGACTCTAATTAATATGACACCTTTTCATCAAAGAAACATTTATAAGACTTTTTATTGCAACATTTAAAATTATAACCAAACCAGCTGTAGCCACATGCTGGTGTGTGACGCTGAAGGGCGGTTTTCCCCACTCTGCAACACACTACACAAGGGCTACCGAAGCATCTGCAGATACATTTTACCCATTTGGAAACACAGCTGCTTTTCTGGTTCCCTCCCTCCTTGCAGAGATAACCTTTGCTTGGACATAGTACTGAAAGACGAGGAAAATGATCTCTTGTGCTACAAACAGGGACTCGCCGCCATGTTCTGATGCTGGTCAAAGGTCACGACTTATCACTCAGTTCAACAGATCAAGTATACCTCCTTGGATAGATCATATGTCGGGTGTAGAAATCACCTCCACAACCCTGGCAATGGCATTGAAAGAGTGTTTAAATCACTACACAATTCAAGTGTTCCATAGGATGCCCAGATGCCAGTCTAGTGGAACACCGGTCTCCAGAAATAGTCCAAAAATTTTGTGATTCCACTTTGGTCATGTGTTTGAAAAGAGTTGGCGCCAGACCTTCGAGTACCTTCAGCGAGTTTGAAATGTGTTGAAGTCAACTGATTTTAACAGATGTACCGGTATGTTGTAGAAAACGTCTGTTGCTATAACATGTATGCAATGTTTGTCCAATCCCACCATTCAATTCAGTCTCCCTTGGCTAATGCAGGGTCAAAAATGTGAATAAAGTCAAGCACTTGTGTACTGTGTATAAAGAAAAGTTGCATGAGTTGCATGATTTTCTTCATCTCGATGAAAAAAGTTTGGGGTCAACTAATGAAAATAGAAATCACAGCAAGTGTTAAATCAAGTCCAAGCTCCTTCAGGGCTAGTTGTTACCTTATCGTAGTGATTTAATTGACTTCGAATCATGTGACGACATTTCCTTGTCTGGGAACATTCAAGATGGCGGGTATTGTCAAAAGGCCAAGGGTGAAGAAGTTGTATTCACATATAATTAATAAACAATGTTGAAGAACACACGAAATTCTGAAGATATTCACCTTGAAGACTGTTGAAATTTTAGGAATCCTTGTATTTCCAAGATCTTTCCTTAATATTATTTTGTGCTAATTACTGTTTTATCAAAACCCTGTTGATAACATTATTTTCATGTATAAATATTTTTGTTTTCAACCGTTTTTGTTGATAATTTGTCATTTTCTGAGGAGCTGGAACTGTGCTGTGTAACCTCTACATTCAACAGCCTGCCCATGGGATGTGTCTTCCCCTCCTACTTGTCAACATCGGAGATGCTGCCAAGTGTAGAAAACTTGTCTTCAATTTCATCTACCCCTGTGGCCCACACGTGCTTGGCCCCCCACAACAAAAATATAACACCACAACAGAGAAATAGATTGTAAGGTTTTTTTGTACGCGCTTTCGCCGCGGCTGGACGGTTTGAGACGCGCTGAGGTAACGTGAAAACCAACGAAGGGCATAAAGCAACCCTGTCTTGTGTCCTGTCCCACCATGTGTTTCTGATTGTGTCGAAATGCCGCGACAAAACCCGACCCTCGGCTACGACGCCATGCATGCACTTTTTATAACGGTGCAGCCGAGCAATTTTAACACGAAATACACAAAAAATACTTAGCAGCAATGGTTTGCATCAGGCTTACATGCGGTTTTGTTTTCTTGTCAAAATTTAAGATGTTTTGCAGTGGGACAAGACGCACTAGTCTACACATGGCCGCGCCGGAGTCTTCAAAGCTGAGCGTCTTGCAAGTCTGGCCCGGTTTCCTTCAAGACGCCAGAACGATAAGCAATGCGGGGGGCTCACAAACATACTTGCATTTAGAGAACACCTTCATGCGTACAAATGCACAAAATACTAGGATGATCCTATAGTCGCATGCTGTATTTACGGGAAACAAAAACAGAATGGGAAGAAAAACAAACTTACCGCAGCCGCTGATAGCTGGATGCAGCAGGCCAGTATCAGAACCGCCGCTAACGACGTCAAGACGTGTCTTTCTAACACGCCTCGAAACTTCATTTTGAAAACTATTACACCTTAGCTACACTAAAATAGTAGGCGACTAAAATCAAAATAAAATGCAGAGGGCCACGCGGCCCAGTCGCTGCACAGAGTCTATATAAAAAGAGTCTAAGACCGCTGTCCCGTTGGAGTAGTAGTAGTTGTGGTCAGACTTCCACCATCTTTCTGTCAAGTGAGAAGAAGTCTTGCACGAGCGTCCGTGTCGTTCTGCGGCACGACACTGTTGGTCTACAGCGGAGAGATCGGTGGGCGAGGGACCTCTTGTCCAGTCTACCGAGATGTCAGCGATGTCCGAGCACCCCTGTTCTAATCCTAGTCAAGGGGCCGGCACTACTAGAGATTAGGTCTTCCCCGCGCACCAACTCTCCATTGGGCAGGAAATGCCTTGGCAGGGGCCGGGGATGCCCTATCGCCTCATTAGCATAAGGGGCAACAGGGCGGCGCAAACCACAAAGTCAGCCACTAGCAAAATCACATCATTATGTGAAATTCGATCCCAGATTGAACCCTGACAGACACCCGGATCACGTTAGGAGAAACTAAAACGGCAGATCCTTCCGAGAAACCGCATAGCCAGGCGCTCAATTGGCGGTCCCCTCTAAATTGGACACAGATGAGAACTTTACAATACATAACTTTATTTAACCTTTTCTTCTGGCCTCTACACTATTGCTTTCAGAAGTTGTGGGAACTTTTTATAACGGTCCCCTAATTTCCGTATGGGGAAAACTTTCTCACCCGTGGCAAGGATGAAATTATCGACTGTAAGCTAAAAGTATGGGGTTCTGTGGGACATTTTGAGGACACATACTGTGGAAGTGTTTCCAATTAACAGAAAGCCACAAGGGCGAGATATGGCGTGGTGCGAATATTTGGGCCCCTCTGAAGACGCGCCTAGATTATCTGGAGTGATAGCGGGAAAGGCACAAAACGTGCCGCCAAGATTCAGCATCTATGCTCACATAACTAATCTCCTCAGTCTCCGGTACCTTGGTGACCACTCGAGCCATCTTGCAAGTCTATTTATAAAACGAGAGAACGTTTGTGCCTGAAATGTTGAGATGGGGACTCCTTCTGGGTCTCTCTGGGTTTAATTAATATCAGAATAGTTGGAGACCGTCTGTGGATGGAAGCCTTCCCCACCGTCAATTAATAACAATTTAATTGAACACATGCGTCACAGGTGGCGATCTTCAAGGAGATAGCGCGACAAGATAGATCTGCGTCCCTTCCTGAGATTGATATTCTCCCGATCCCCCCTCCTGGGGGGTGTCCTGGATTGGGAGTCAGCAAAATTGTCCAAACCCCGGCGGAAATATGGATGAGGACGCCAGCCACTATCATTGCTACAACATCATAAATGCTCATCAGCAGTGGGGGTGCTAGTTTTAGCAGATTAGCAGACGGCGCTGTTTGGAAAACAGATTGTTGCGACTTTTCGCGTCTAGTCTTTCTTCCTATCTTTCTTGAGGTATTAAACTTTAAAATTACATGTATAATTCAAACAAAACGCAACTCAGAAGAGGGAATAGTTTTCGTAATATGTGAAGGATAATTTGAGAACTTTCTTGAAGTGTTGGTCCGTTGCCCCAGTTTACCATATTGTGATCATTAGGGAAACCGCAGACAAGGGGATATTCCGAACTCTTTCATCATAGCGGTCTATCCCTCTGGGTCACAATTGGAAGTAAATGAATATTCATCCATACATAATGAGCGCTTGGGTGCCCCCAGAGATCTCTGATCAGAGACATCCATGTCTAACGTTTTCCAGTCGCGCCGCAATGCCAGGAATGTCTTACAAGTCCCAGATGTTTATTCATCTGATGAGATCTGAATTCTCCTAACGTGCAGGGCTGTCACTTGGGGACGGTCCCCCCGCTAAGCCCCGCCCCTCACAATAAACTTTTCCGGCAGGGCTGGATCCGCCGTGCATGGGCGAACTGCACCGCTGTAATTCCCCATCCATACGCCGCTAAACTACACACTTTTCGGGGGAATTTCGGGAAGGTAACGACGACGTTAAGGGGCAGCTGAAGTTCTGGCCAAAACCAGCGTTTTTCTCGGCACTACCTCTTTGTCGTTTGTCTTTTCCTGGGACCATAGGCTGCATGTAAATTGGTTCCATATGACGATATAGAGTCCCGACATCGGCCCTAGAACGCTGTGCAGTGCTGGAAGCATGGGGGCCAACATCGTGGGGAAATCTGGGTCTTACCGACCTAGCCTAGGAAATATGAGGTTATGGTGAGCATCTACCTTTATTTTTACGCCAAGTACTTGAACTTAGCAATTTAGACATGGCAAGGAGTTATAAGTTTCTTCCTGTTTTCATCCAGCAACATAGCGCTGACCGCCAGTGATGATTCTGTTCAACGTTGTACTTTTGTTTTCTAGGATGGCCACAGGGTTCCTTCTATTGGCCCTTCTGGACGTCGCGTTAGCGGTGAGTTTTTGTTTTCCACCACTGTTTTATTTTTGAGGGATTATTTGTGTAAAAATGTGACGATAGATGTCTGTGAAGTAAGACCGTACAGCCGGCAAGATTCCAACATGGCGGCACGCACTTCTTGGCCTTGCTTGAAGTTTCCTTGGCGGTACAATCGGGCGTCTTAAATTTGGATTAAACAATTTTTTTTGTCGGCGTGTTCCCACGACTTGGCGGGGTTCTCGAACTTTGTGCACGTAAGGGGAACGAAAGCGTTCGCGCTAAAACGTTTTGCAGACGTGTGATATCATTTATCAAAGTAACGGGACCCGGCGTTCGCGGGATTTTGCCAAACTTTTGGTTTTGAAAAGAACAGAGATTTGAGGTAGACCTCGCCTGATTCCCTTAATTTTATTATCCTGCAAGCGACTGCAAATGTTGCATGTTGCTTAGATGCATGTTACGGCTTCAGCTCTGCCACGAAACACGCCTTCTGGCTTCTGCGCCTTCCATCCAGCTTGCCCTTCAACCCTGTACAAAATAACAAACATAAATATCTCTGACACTTCGCGATGCTGATTATCATATTTTGTTTACAAGAAATCAGCGCGTGGAACTGGAGAAGCTTGTTCTTATCGTTTTATCACCTTACGTGGGTTTGCACAAACATGACCAAGGTGATGTTAGCTTGGCTGACAGATCTAAGATGCTTCTAGAGCCTGATGAGAGACAATCTCCAGTGGCTTCTGGGCGATTCCATTCTCCTTTGGGGGGTGTATGTCAAAAGTTGTCACACCTGGTAGGAGGGTGTGGCCGTAACCAAAGGTGGTATTCCCTAGGGGTTATCCCGTTTTTAAAGTCCAGGAAGGGGTGAGTACACGGAATTTAAGTGTAAGGAATCAAGAACAACATATTTGGTAAAATGTGAAATGAAATAAAAGGAGAAGAATTCAAGAAATGTTCCCATTCACCCCCACAAGATTTTTAATGGGTTAGCCCAGAGGGCATGCCATTTTGAGTTCTTTGGCCTTCAGGTCAACCGCCAACATTACAGTTTTTGTTCGCTTAGATAAATAAACAGCTGTAGATTTATAAGAAGAATGCATTAAACCATGTGAAGGAATTGTGTTTTTTTTTTGTTGACGACTCATGTTATTTATTGTACTGTACATGTAGCGATGTTGCCACTTTTGCCTCTGTTCATCCATAGCCCAGGGATCGAAACTAGTGTTATCTAAAGATGTAATAAGAGCAATGTTAGTTTGGCAATTCATGTATGTACAATGTTGGACAATTATCAAAAGCACATGTCACCTTGGCTACATAAGTACACATAGCAGATGACTTTTTCTTATATGACTTGAATTTTGTGCTATATGTGGGATATAGTACACACTCATGATATGTATTATATGCTCTAGACATCAAACAATGGCTTTGGGAGGGGGGGGGGGGCAAAATTAAGTACACTACATCACCAACCCAACTAAGTCGCAGAATATACATGTAGTTGGGGTGACCCAGATGAGTAGGTGTGCTTGGCCACATTTGGTTCATGGATGACCATGGTGCAGTCACCACATAGAGGCATGGAAAGGTTAACCCCTGAAGTGTCGAATGTCTGGAATCTAAATTAAGGGTGTCTTTGTCTTTGCCATTGAAATCAACCCTGACACTTCCAGAGTTGAATTTAAACCTTAGTTCATGTGCAGGCAGCCATGTTGTTGCCTGTGCAAACCACAGCGCATGTGTGGGAGGGCAGCAGTGCCTGACCCTGTCAGCGGAAAAATTCAGAATGTGGTTAGCACTGATCCGGATCAACCACAGTCAAACCAACAAAACAGGAGGACCCCCTATTACTTGAGTTTTACGCTATCAGTGGTTTCAATGAGTCAGTATTGGTGACAAAATCTACATGTGTAGAAACATACCAGTAACCAATATAGGAGGTACAAACAGAACATTACATAAACAGAACACACTAATTGTTTTCCAAATTGCTGCTTAATATCAAGGCTAGAACAGCTGTTCTTATGTCAGGTTGTCTCCAGGAATAAGATTAAACAGAACATATCCAATGACCCCTCCAGTGAGCCTGCGATAGCCTACCATTTGGCCTTTTAAATTTGCGGTCAGGTTTTTTTTTAAATATAACCAATAAGAAAATCTGCAGTCAACACTTCCGTGTGCCAAGAAGTCCATCAACTTTCTTGAAGAAGTTAGCTCCAGTTGTAAGAAAATATTTTCAACATTGCAAGCTTTGTTGGTATTGGCAGAGCATCCAACTTGTAAGCATTTTTCTGGTGAAGCTTTATTGTTATTGGCTGGATGGCGAACTTTGAAGCTTTTCATTGGTTTAGAAAGGTAATTGGTTAAAAGGGCTTTCTAGGCCCTTTTTTGACTTTTGGAGGGGAAATGACAAAAATGTTTCTGGCCATCTTTTGTGATTGATAAAAAGATATATTAATTTGTTACAGTCAAGCAGTTCTCAGAAATGCTTCCCTCCCCAGATGTCACTGGTTAGTGACAATTTGCATGTCAGGCTGGATTATCAAAGTATTTCCTGCTCAGAGGCATCCCACAGCTCATTAGTGAATAGATCAAAGTTATCTGATTAAAAAGCTAATCTTTTGATTTTTGATGAAAATGTTTCTACATCAAAATGCTGCTAATTCACAGTATGTTATTGATTTCATAAATCATATCATATGACATGTGTCATAGTTTAGCTCAAGTAAAGTTACATGAAAATTTCAGTGTTTTTCAATCCTAAGTAATACATAGTGACCTCTTTGGTTAATGATACTAGAGAAATTATCTTTTTTGTACATATTTGTCACTTCTTTGTTCCCACCAAAGGAAAAGCTGATTAATTTAGATCATCCCTCAAAGTGTAAAGGCTAATCATATAGGCCCAAAGTAATACACAACACGCTTTTATATGGCCTCCAATACACAAATACAAATTTACATGGTTAATATCAGTTAATGATTTTTAAATTTTTTTTGTTATGATAAAAAAGAGGCAAAGATAATAGCACTGTTTCAGCTCGGAGTGGTCTAAGCAAGGACATTGTTTAAGTTGATTACAGAACTCACTGTTTAGCCTCTAGCAGGCTTGAAGGCAGGCTTTCTTTGTGTTTTCTGCTTGTTTATAAACCTTCAGGCTAGACTTCTGCCAAAACCTGGTGAATTAAAAAAAATGCACTGCAGTGAGTAAAAAAAAAAGACAGCAAAAAAAGACCGGCGATAAAGCCTGCTGTGGAGGCTATATTATGTGTACTTTGTGTGTATTTTGACCAAACTAAGGTTTATTAGGACAGTACACTAGTATCAACATTCTAATTGAGTAATTAGTGTGTACCTATTAGCTTTTCTCATCTAACGTTTATTGTTGGGAGGTCAGTCATTTTCCCCCTAAAATGGTTTGAACAAAAGCTTGTGTTGATCCCATTGTTTGCTCCTTGCAAACTTATTTGGAGGGACAATGTAATCTACTGCACTCTACCAGACACGTGCCTACACATCCACCAGTAAAGGGTTCATCTAGTCAGGACTAAAAAAAACTTTCATATTCATGATAATGATATGAACTTTGAGTTGAGAAAATGAAACATTTCTTGTACCGTTAACCTTTTCTTTATACAAAAACTTTCAAAGCAAGGGAAGTAAAAGTTGACTTCTTTTTACCACTATAGCAGGTATCAAATTTTCTTATATCATGATGCCATATTGCCAACCTACGTGTACATGTCAAAAGGTCATGAGGTAGTGACCCCACCAACTTTGACTCCTATGCAAATGACTTCTGGTCAGTGTGCTGCTGTATTTCAAGCTGAAATACACATTGTGTGATGTCATTGATACCAATATACCTATGTTTTTCATATCATTGAGCTCAGATTTTTGGATACTAAAGATGATGGAATGGCCAAGTCTTTTCCTTGCAAGAGCTATGAAATGCCATTGAAAGAAATCTTAATTCCCGAGGGATTGGAGGTCTGTTGCTGCCAAGTTCAAAAGGCTTTGAAAATTTTTAAGTTCTGATTACTGAAATTATGTTAAGTACACAAATGCATGTACTTCATTTGATCTGCAGCCAGAAAAAAATTGTTACATCTTGGTGTACAGTAGTACAAGATATTGACACAAAGTTGGTAAAAGTACTTTCTTGAAGAAAAATGGTCTGTAAAGGAAACACCTACTTGTGAATGTTGGTTGCACTGTGACAGAGTGACTCTCACACCACTGTGAAGTTAGGCACTCTTAACAAGCAGTCATGCAGACTGAAATGATCATGAATCTACTATGTCCGCTTATGATCCCAAAACAGATGATAGATGAAAAATCATAACTTTTAATTAATTGTCATATCTTATGAAGAGAAATGTAGCCGTTCAGACAAAAAGATCTTTCACCCTAAAATCTGCTTTGATATTGTTATTCCTTGAGATTATTTCACATTTTCCATTATTGCAAGATGATCCTGCTGATATGAATAGGGAGAAATTTCTCTAATTATAGGGAAGCATTGTTGTCTCAGGTTGCTGCCATGTTCAGTGACCATCCAGGTTGCTATGGACTTCCTATCTCCTCACTGATCAACTCTGACCCTTGACATAGCACCCCATTTATTAGAAAGTTGACAACATTGCCTTTACTTGTGCTTGTGTGTTGAACTGAAGACAGCTGAAGCAGTATTTTTAAGGCCGCCAGACTGCTGTCCATTGTTTGATGCGGTACAAGACTGAAGTTGTGATTGGTTACAACACATTGCACTTCCATTGACGTGATGTGTCTGGAAAACTTGGCAATGAAAGGGGCCAACCTTCCTGACCATGTGCCACAAATTATGGCCCGTTTTGAACTTTTTGGAAGGAAACAGGAAAAATGTTCCGGTAAGACATTTCAGCCTTTGAAATTGAAGGAGACCTATTGTATGCATCATTCAAAATCTAATCGCTCATAGGAAAATGTACATGCTCAATTTTTCTCCC